AGGCCCATGTAATAACGGGTTGGCTTCTCGTCATGGTGGGTTGCCAACTTGCCAACTATTATTTTTTTAAAAAAAATAATTTTGTCATTTTTAAATATTTTTTCTTATACAATGTAAATAAAATATAATGAAATTTTTATTTTTTTTCCTTTAAGTATTTGATTGAAAACACCAAATAAATGATAATGGTTTTTTTTTTAATTTTTTAGATAGGATATAAAATATAATAATATAATTATAATAAGTAATAAAATCAAAAAAATACCAAAAAAATAAACGCAGGTTAATCTGCGGGTTGGTGAGCTAACTTGCGGTAAGTTATGGGTTAAACAATGCGGGTTAAAAATTTTATTTGCTGGCCAACCCATCTTTTTTGGTGGGTTGGCGGGTTGGACCCGCAGGTCCAACTCATATTACCAGCTCTACAAATTATAGTAACTTTAAGGCAATTGTGGTCAAATATGAATAATCTAAACCCGATTTAAATGGTTTATATTTAACATTTTTAATTTTTAAATAATAATTAAAAGATTATTTTTATTTCAAATTCTATATCTATTAAAAATAAAAACATATTAAAAATATAAACATTAGGTAACATTAAATTAAATCTGACTTTCCAGTTTTAATTTGGATGGTTAGAATAGTGCTCATCAATTTAATTTCTTGGAGCATGAGTAGCATAATGCACTTTTTCGCCCCTTTTTTTAACTGATTAGGTGTGTTGCTCGAACATGATAAATTAAATATCAATATGGCCAAGTTTAACCTCTTAACTGATAAGCAGGCCGGAAATAGAACTCTAACAAACATTTATTTATGAATTGACGAATTGAATGATTGTTTAATTATATATTGAGAGAAATTTTTTATAGTGTTGATAAAAATGCCTAACATTATATCTGTTAAAACAAAATAATCGTTTAATCTTTATAATTTTGATTTAATTAAAATTGAGTCCCTAACTTTTGATTTTGCGCAATTTAATTTCACTAAATTTAAATCATTTAAAATATTAATTCTTATATTTTAGAAAATATTATAAAAACTAAACTATTTCTTCGACATTATTAAAGATTTAATCATTTAGAATTGAAAAGATTGTATTGAGTTAAAAATTAGGAGAATTGGTACAAAATTTTAGATAAGAAGCATAATTATGAAAAAAAATCTCAATAACAACATAAAAGTTTATAATAATAAGTTCTAGAGAAAATTACAAATAAAGACTTTTAAATATGTAAAATTATGATTTGGGACCTTTAATGTGGAAAATAACAAATAAGGACCCGATCTCAAATTGTAAATATAAAACCTTGGTGAAACGTCTGAAATGCCCCTCAGTCAAATAACAAGTTGACTAGGAAAAATGACAAATTTACTTTAACAAATGACAATTTCAGTGGACCAAATCACAACTTGACTGAGGTTATGCAAAATAACAAGTTGACTATGAAAATTGACAAGTTCATTTTAGCGAATAACAATTTCAGTAAGCCAAATCACATTTTATTTGAGGGGTATTTCAGACATTTCACTAAGATTTTATATTTACAATTTGAGATCGAGTCCTTATTTGCAATTTTCTCTAAGTTCTAAGTTGATAATTATTTTTTCAAAAAAAAAATTTAAAGACTTAACTTATTTTAATCCAAGTAGCAAAAATATTTGGCATTATTCGTGAGATTTGTGTCAATTGTGGGGGACCCAGTTTGAACAGAGCACGTGATAGGGTGATATATAGGCACTGGGTAGTCTGCCCTGCTTTCAGACAAGATAAGACCCTTGTCAAAATCTACATCAAAATAACGCGGCGCAAACCAAAACGACATAATTCCAAGAAATAGACAAATTTTGCCGACCCTCAAGAGCCTTTAGCTCCTCGCCACGCCACGACACGACAAAAGTCGAAGAAGAGTTCATCTCTATATTCTAACAACCAATCCACCAGATCCATGTTCACGAGCGCAATCAGTATTTGTAGGAATGAGCAACTAAACTTATCAAAATTTGTTTTGTTCAGATTGAATTCTTTTTATGGTTAAATTTCATTCAATTGCTACTGTAGACAATTAATATTAGTCCATTCACAAAAAATTCTAAAATTTATCAAAATTCAAAATTTGACGATTTACAATAAAAGTTAAGCAATTTGCAACTAAAATTTAATGATTTATAAAAAATATATAACAAAATTCACAACCCCAAAATACTATTGTTTTGGTATAAGTGAACAATTCAAACAACAAAAATTCAATGATTTGTAAGAAATATAAGAAAATTAACAACTCCAAAATAAAACAAGGGTATTTTTATCTTTTCAATCATAAAATTTTGGTCCTTGGGAGTGCAATGAAATTTTAGAATTTTTGAGAGTTGACTAATATTAATTATCTAGTGAGAGGTTAAATGAAATTTTTTGTTTTATTTTTTTAAAACAATTATCTTAGTGGATATAGAATCTAAAATAAAGATAATCTCTTAATTATTTTCTTAAAAAATAATTTTTTACTTAAAAATAATTTATTAAAAATATTAAATCTCTACTGTCCAGATCAGATCTAGATGGTCTAAAGTGCTTATTGAGTGATGAGCACAATTCAAATTTGTGTTCTCCTTACGGGATAAGATCCCTTACCATCTCAACCAATAACTTGTTAGTAAATTTAACCTTAATTTAACTAAGGAGCAATAATAAACACATACTCCTCCCGATCCTATGTCCTAAATACACATGAGTTAGTTAAAAAATTTACTTTAATTGTAAATATAAGATTTTAATTCATTTTGCCTTAAATTTGTAATTTTTTTTATGAATTCTACTTATTGATTACACCTATTAAAAAAAATTTCAATTAAAGGTAGAGTTTTCAATGAAGATGATTAAACTAGTATTATAAAAAAAATAACATTTACAAATAATTAATTCATATTAATTTTATTTTATATTTATAAATTAATTAACTAGTTCATGTATTAAAAAGAAAAAAGTATATATAATATATATGTGTATCAAATGAAGTAACTTGAACTTCTGATTTTTGTAGGACATTCCTTAGATCTAAGATTAATGGAAGCATTTACTTAGATACTACTTTCGATCTTAAATATAATAGCTAATTGAATATTTAATTTGATTCTAAATATAAGATTTCAATCTGTTTTGTTTTTTATATTCATTCATTTTTTCAAAGTAATGCCCATAATGATTGCACATATTCAAAGTTTTCATTATATTACATATGACTAATAAAGATATTTTGATAAAGATAATACTAATTTATTATAAATAATTAATTGAACTAATTTTTTAAATATTGCAAATTAGTTATACTTAGTATTGCGTAAGCTCAAACGAGACACAAGCAGCCGTAAATATCACATGTATTCTTTGACCCAAACCCGTTCCTATCACTAAACTTCCCAAAAGAAGGTATCGAAAAATCATGAGCTCCTTCTTATTCCATTATTTCCTTCTTTCTCTTGCTTTCTTCTTCACTCCCAAGCTCCTCCTTCAAAATAAGAAGCAGTGTTTTAAAAGCCGGACCGGATATCAAACCGGAAAGATCAACGGGTCATGGTTCAAACGGTCAGATCGGTTGAACCGTCTGGTCAGACTGGTAACATAATAATTAAATAAAAATAATATTATATAAACATATGATAACATATGTGTGTAAAAAAATAAAAAATCAAATTGTTAGATAATTTGAAAATATAAGTATATAGTTCAATTTCATCATTTTAGTAGCAATTCAACCCATCATAGTTAAAATATTATCAATGTTACGCTAATTAATTTTAATATAAATGAAAACTGATTCTAATTTATCTTTAAATAAACCAAGAATTAGTTTACAATTTATTTAATGTCACTTTTGTAATTGTGATGAAATATATAAAAAAATGTCTTTAAAAAATTATTCAGAAAAAATAGTTAAAAAAAGAGAGATGAAAATATATAATGTAAACTAAGGTGATTAAATAGTTATCTATTTGTTAAAAAAATAGTAATTTAAGAAGTCAAAGAATAAAAAAAAGTTGATGACTTGGAAAATAATAATCATCATCATCAAATATACGTTTATTATTTTTGCCAACTATAAAATATGCATTTATAATTACGTTGAGATTTGTTACATGACATGTTTTATATTTAAAAAATACTCATAAAAAATAAAAATCAAAAGTAAAATGTGTAAAGTCTTGTCAATACGCGTTTTACCACAAGTCTGCAACATTTAAAGTTATCTTCCCTTCCCTATGTGAGCCGATCAGACACTTTCCCCTAAGCAGTTGAGCTGTCCACTTTCTGCAACTATTTTCTTCTTCACTCCCACAATGTCGACTACTGAATTTCGCAAGGTCTAAAACGGCATGGATGGAGGTTGCAACTTGCATCTATGGAGAAAGAAGGAAAAGAAAATGTTATTGGTAAATTTTATTAATTTTTGTTCTTCGATTTTATTATCATCTCCATCCTCTTTTCTTTTTCCTTCTTCATCGTTGTAATTTTTGCCATAACACCACCACGAACCCATGGAGAAAGACGAACAAGGGAAAAAATGAGTTGGCTTGACGGTAGAAAAAAGACGAAGCAAGTGGTGAGCAACAGAAATTTCAGACTCGTTTGGTTTTCTTGAAACCGTTCCGGCTTCCGGCTTTAATCCGGATTCCGGCTCAAATGCCGGCTCAGGACGGCCTAAAGCGGTCCAATCCTTTGAACGGTTAAAACATCCCAACCGAACCGGGAAGATGAACGGGTGAAGGTTGGACCGGTCTGACCGTCCGGTCCGGTCCGGCTTTCAAACCATTGATAAGAAGCTCAAAAACATCCCACCTGGTCCACCTTCTGTTCCCTTTATCGCCAATCTCCACCAACTGAAAAAGCCACTTCATCGTGCCCCTCACCGGATTTCTCAACGTTATGGCCAAATCATTTCTCTTTGGTTTGGCTCTCGTCTTGTCGTCGTTGTCTCGTCGCCGTCCGCAGTCCAAGAATGCTTCAACAAAAACGACATCGTCCTGGCGAATCGGCCCCGCTTTCTTACCGGACAGTATGTTTCTTACAACTGCACCATCATAGACTTCGCTCCATATGGCGACCACTGGCGCAACCTCCGTCGCATTACGGTAGTCGAGATGCTCTCGAGCCACCGTCTAAACGCATTCTTGGAAATGCGAAGAGACGCGAGATGAAGCGCCTGGTGCAAAAGCTTGCTCGAGACTCACATAAAGAGTTCACCAAAGTGGAGATGAAATCAAGATTCTCCGAGATAAGCTTCAACGCTCTCATGAAAATGATTTTGGGGAAAAGGTATTGGACAGACGACAATGAGGTTGGGGATGTGGAAGAGGGAAGAAAATTTCAAGGGATTATGCATGAGTTTGTGCCAATAGCAGGGGCAAATAACGCTGCAGACTACTTGCCCATATTGAGGTGGTTTGATTATGATCACTTGGAAAGCAGGCTCAAGAGTATGGCCAAGGGAATAGACGGGTCCCTGCAAGGGCTCATTGATGAGCATCGAAATGCAAAGCACAAAGCAAACTCTATGATCGATCATCTTCTGAGTCTCCAAGAATCACAACCTGAGTACCATAGAGATCAGATTATTGAGGGCCTCATATGGGTAAGAAATATTCATTCAATGCTTAAGGTAAGATTTACTTAACTGATTTGAGTAGATTAAGAAAACTAAATTAACTACTTAATTCTAACAAATGTGATATCTTTTAGTTTCTTTTCTTTGAGATGTGCTTGAAACCTGGAAGAATTCGAGAATGCTGCAATAACTTCTTAACAGAACAGTGAAAATGAAAAAAAAAAATTATAGGATCTAAATGCTGTTCAAATATTATTTTGCTTATGATAGGATTAAATACATGAAGAAAAGGAATTATTTCAAGATTTGATTGGATTTTGGAAGTGTAGATCCATTTCGAAGCTTTTTTTTTTCCCAGCAAAGGACAATTGCTAAGCTACAAATCTTTATATCAGCCGCAAAAGTCATCGTATTATTAATAAAATGTAGTAACTGTAAAATCCTGATTGTGTGAGCATTCACTAAATTAAGTCTAATTTTTTATGTTGTTTTGTTAATTTTTTCCTGTAGGTTATGCTTCTGGCTGGAACGGATACATCAACTGTGACTTTAGAATGGACAATGTCTTCTCTATTAAACAATCCTGAGTGACAAAACTCGATTACTATATGAACTTATCACTATATTATCTATATAAAAAAAGGGAGGGGTTTTAAGCTCAAGCTTTTCCTGTTAGTTTAAACTATTACAACTTAGGTAGCAAAAGGTTTTTTATATTATTAAATGGCTTTTACAAATTCTTAGAGTTTAAGGAAAATGGCAGTGACATTAATTCGGTATTACGAGACTAAGGACAGATCATATTACAAAGTTTAATAAATAGGAGTAGATTATACTTTTGGGAGCACAATAAGTGCATGAATAATATCCCATAATGGTTATAACAATATTTTTACGGCTTTTTATATTAATTAAACTACTTTCTTGTGTTAGGATGCTTAATTAGGATGTTACTGTAGGATGTTATATAAACTTGTTATCACTGTTTTCACTCTTACAATTGTGGATTATTTAGATGGAAAGTGACATATGATTTGGTTATGTTAAATGGCTGTCACTGTTGTTAGACTGCTGTCTATTTTGATTTTGCACGTGTTTTTTACAACTGCAAGTTACATAAAAATTGCCAATATAAAAAATTCACAATTTATTTTAAAAATATATATATTTTTGTCTATCCCAGCTAGAACAGACGAAAATATAGTACCCTATTTTGGTCTGTTCTTGGCTTCCGGCTAAAACAAACAAAAATAGACACCTTATATTTGTCCTAGAAAAGATGAAAATAGATGCACTATATTCATTTATTCTTCCTAGCAAACAATATTTTCGTTTGTTAAGAACTTTAGCCCAATTATTAACTATGCATATTTTCCCATCATAAGCACTTCCAAGTATGCATTAATTCACCAAAAAATTATAACAACTAAAGAAAAATGTGTTGAAATAATATGAATTTTGTAAGCTTAACAACAAGCTATCATATAACTTTTGGGAAAGTCCAACTTATAGTAAAGGTTCTGCAGAAAATTTTATAAATGCTTAATAATTTGATGGTAAGAAATATGCTTATATATATATATATAAATATTTGCCAACAATATGTTTATATGTATGAATTATAAATGGTATATACATGCTTAAAGTTATTATAATATAATAGTCATGATATTATAAATGGTAGTATAACTATCAAGTTAAATGAATTCATTTATCGATGTCAGTTCCCTAACACCGTAATATCTATTTTTTCTCCTACTCCAATTTCTACTATATCTCTTATGCAGTAGCAGAAATGCATTTTTAATTGACGACGAATATAATATTTTGTACTAGTGCTGGTCTACCTTAAATTTTTAGGACGTGACACTATCCGTCCATGGAACTCTACCTATCGCTTCGTCTTTCACCACCAATGAATGGGATTTTGGCCATACATAGCATGGTCTGTAGCTTCACCGAAGAACAAACCCTCCAAAGCCATCGCAGCTACCGAAGCAAGAGATGGAAGATGAGAACGGACCGGAAGTGACAATGGTTAATGGAGAATGAAATGGAGGTGGTGGTCGGAGAGAAGAAATCAGAGGTGAGAAGCGGTGAGAGAGCCAATGGAGATTGATGTTGTGATTACTGACTAATAGTAAAACTGATACTTAATAGGCATTCCATGCTCTTTCAAACGGTGTTTTGATGCTCTAGGTAGCTTCAAGTGGAATCCTAGATTAACTCATTCACCTGTGGGATATGTCTCCTACACAGCTTTTGAAGGGATGTGCTCTCTTGATTGGGTTACAAAACCCCCATCCCTGCTTAACCTTTTCCAGGTGGCTCGGAGTTGCTTGGATTGTCCTCTTTCTTTTGCTTTTTCTGTGCTACCCTTGTTCATGGTTTTGTATTTCGACTTGGTTCTGTCTGCTCATATCTTGGGCTGCATTAATTTTTGTTTTGCTTCCTTTCTTGAATTCTATGTACTTCCAAACTTGAGTTTTAATACTATATTACTGTGGTTTGTGCAGGGAAAAAAAAAGAAAGAAAACAGAACTAGAAGGAAATTATTCTTGTACATGTAGATATTCCCATCGCTTATTGCAATAGATTGTAACAAATACTAAAAATGAACCATTTATATAGCATGAAACTCCTACTATTCCAAGCCTTTGGATACATAATTCCTCAACTTGGTTATCCTGGATAACCTTTTAAGAAAGAAGCATGTTAATGATTGGATGGCGTGCTCTACACATGGCCTCTAAAGGAATAACTTTTGGCATGGTGGCTCCTGCTCCTTCTGTCATGTCAATTTCTTCCTCACTTACCCGTTTCCATTCAAAGCATTGAATCAATAATCCCAAAGTCAAGCTCACTGTTCGTTGGGCTAAACTTTCTCCAGGACAAGCTCGTCTTCCCAACCCAAATGTAATTAGCTTGTTTGCTTCTCCTTCTTTCTCAAACCTCTCTGGCTTAAAACTCGTTGGATCACTCCATAACTGGGGATCTCTATGGTTAGCCCAAGCATTGATTAACACAATAGTTCCACGAGGAACATTATATCCTGAAATGGTGCAATCATTCGAAGCCTCATGTGCAATCAACAATGGTAGGGCAGGATGCAATCGAAGTGTTTCAGAGACAATGTTTTGCAGGTATGGAAGTTTTGAGATTTCTGGCTCATCTATTAATCGTTCTTGCCCTATATGTGTGTCTATTTCTTTCTTTGCTTTTTCCAACACATGAGGATTGTTTAATAAACTTGACATTGCCCATTCTAAAGTCACAGATGAAGTATCCGTTCCAGCAAAAACCATGACCTATAAGTCAAAATTAACAAAGTAATCAAAATCAGGGAATACAAATTTTATAATCAACTTTTAGAGTAAATTGAGTAAGTGGTCACATTACGATTTTAATGTATATAGTATATTTTGCGCTATGCTGCAATAAAAGGAGAAGGCAAATTCTTAATTAAAAGCTAAGTGATCTAAAGTACATGTTCTGCTTGACCATAAAAAAAAAAAAAAGTACATGTTCTGCGAGATCAATATCAAATTGTGCGATGATTTCTATCTGGGCTTTTTGTGTGTGTGTGTACAAAGACATAATGTTGTAGAGTTTTGCACTGCTCATAATGTACAGTTATGCAATTCCCTTTTTATCCTGGGGTCCATCTGTATTTCCAAAATCGAATTAAATACTCTCCCACACCCACTGTCTATCTCGATAGATATTTCCCTTTTCCTATTTACTTAATCCTTTCACAATATATGTACTGGCCAAAAAAACCTTTCACGAGATATATTAATTAAAAATGTACAAATAACATGTTTAACCTTTGAAACTTAATAACAAATCCCCCTAAACTATCAGGTCTATGCAAATAACTTCAAACTAATCAAAGAAAACTCTATTCTTCTTGTCCTATTTATAAATATTTACTTCCAACATGTTTCATATGGACTAAAGAAAACTCCAACCTTTATTAACTCATTTAAAATTCAACAACTTTTCAACTTGTGTAAATATATATTATACCTCATGTAAATAAAGTTAATAATAATAAATAAAAGATAAAATTATATATCTGTATAAAAAAAATTTCTTAGTGCCCTATAAAGAGGACAAAAAATATCTTCTTTCTTTGCCCATTAAATAGGACTAGATGAGTGCTTTTTTATGCATATATAACCTCTCAAACTTGGAATTATATGCATACAAACCCATAAATTTTAGTTGATTTGCAAATAAATAACAAATAAAGTTAATGGTATGGAAATTATATGCATGAATGCAAAATTTCAGGGAGATTCATTATAAGGTGTTAAAGGTTAGGGAGGTTATTTACATATGACATAAACTTTTAAGTTATCAACTTCAACATAGGTTGCATGCAAGCACATCTTAATAAAATGTAATCAAAAGATATCTAACTGCGTGCAATAAAAAAGGTAAAAGCATTCTTTACTTTCACTTACCAATATGAGGCCTTTAATAATCTGATCCGTATAGTACTCAGGCTGTGATTCTTGGAGACTCAAGAGATGATCGATCATAGTATTTGCTCTCTGCTTTGCGCGTCGATGCTCATCAATGAGTCCTTGAGAGAACCCATCGGCTCTCTTGGCCAAACCCTTGAGCTTCTTCTCCAAGTGACCAAAATCAAACCACCAAAGTATGGGCAAGAAATCTGCGCTGTTATTTACCCCTCCTAGCGACACCAATTCCTTTATAATCTGTCGAATCTTTCTGGCCTCTTCCACATCCCCAACCTCGTTGTCGTCTCCCCAATACCTTTTGCCAGAAATCATTCTCATTATAATGTTGAAAGTCAACTCTGAAAATCTTGATTTCATCTCCACTTTGAGGAATTGATCCTTGTGTACTGATTCTTGAGCAAGCTTTTGAACCAGCCGCTTCACCTCCTCTCTTCGCATTTCCAAGAATTTGTTGAGACGGTAGTTCGAGAGCACCTCAAGCGCTGTGACGCGGCGGAGGTTGCGCCAATGGTCGCCATAGGGAGCCAACGTTAAGGTGGTGCAGTTGTAGGCAACATACTCTCCGATGAGAAACCGGGGGCGATTTGCCAGGACGATGTCGTTTTTGGTGAAGCATTCTTGGACTGCGGACTGCGATGAGACAATGACAAAGAGGCGAGAGCCAAACCAAAGAGAAAAGACTTCACCATAACTTTGAGAAATCCTGTGTAAGGCTTGATGGAGTGGCTTTTCTAGTTGGTGAAGATTGCCGAGTATGGGAAGAGAAGGTGGGCCAGGTGGGATGTTTGTGAACTTCTTATTTTGAAGAAGGAGCTTGAGAGCAAAGAAGAAAGCAAGAGAAAGAAGGGAATAATAGAACAAGAAGGTGATCATTATTCTTAGGTAGTTCCCTTTTGTTGAGTACTTAATGGATTTGAGTCATGGAGACGTGTGTGTTGGTATTATATATAGAGCGGCTTTGCATTTGAGCTCACTTAATGCTTTCAATTAATCTTAAGGATACATGTCGTTCAAGACCCAAAAGTTCCAGCTAACTTCAGTCACTGATATATGAGCCAGTGTGAGATTTAGATTTAATCTTAAATATAAGATGTTATTTCATTTTTTATCTCATATTTATTATTTTCCTCCAAACTAATTTACCTAATTTATATATTCAAATATAAAATAATATTGTTATATGAAAATATCTTAGAAAGACGATATGATATTTATTTGGGTTCTTTAAATTAGTTATATTTGTTTAGTGCTCTCCTCTCAATTCTTGTCCTGGCTCGACGACTTGGTGATTGGCGGTTGAGAGTAAGCAAAATTTGTCTATTTCTTGTAGTTGTGTCGTTTTCGTTGCCTCTGCGTTATTGAATGTAGATTTTGTCTGAAAGTAGTGCAGACTGCATATGTACTATCACCTGTCATCACGAGCTGATGCTAACACATTGGCCACCGACAATTCACCTGATTCTCAACAATGCCAAATATTTATGCAAATTTTCTCAACATTTAGATTGATTTAGTCTTGTGATAAATGCTTCTAAGTCTTTGGCCACTATTTAAATTGATTTGGTCATTGATTGCGTTATACTTGAGAGAGATAATCTAGGTGTAGAAATTGAATAAAATCATTCTTGACTTGAAATTAAATTTACTTATTGAATGGATAGTTCTGTTAGTAAAATAGAGATGTTTTTATTAACCTTGCATTGTCACCCTAAGGTTGTTGCTATTGAATTTATTAGTTGTATTAAGAGATTGTGCAATTTGATGAGAGTATATAAACATGATTCCAATTTGAGAGAGCTTTTTCAAGTGCTCTTAATCTTAAACTAACACATATTTTTATTAAAAATCTATTGAAGAGGAAATTAATCAATTGTTATAGAGTAAATAGGGGAGAAATAATCTACACTCTTACAGTAGAAGTTTCATTTTAAGTTTCATTATTGAGTTAAACACCGATAGTCTAAAGAATTCTTTTTAGTAAGTTTAATAACAATGAATTAATATATATCAACCGCAATGAAGGTTCGATGGCAAGTTTTAACCCGTTTTTGCATTAATCCTCATGGAAAGAATAACTTTAGTCAACTTCACTGTTTGTAACGACCCGTACGTTTGTGGTATATGCTTGGCGGCGAACACGAACAAAGCAATATGATTTATAATAACCAAGAAAAAGAGAACTAAATGGGAACTATTGGTGTACATAAAGATGGATGTTCTCGTTCGCTGATTGCCACAGATTGTGCCAAAGACTAAAAATTCACTTTTCATAGTATGAAACTCCCGCTCACAACTCCACACCAGTGGATGCAATTCCTTAACTTAGATCAACATTAATTTTAACCAAAAAGCATGTTAATAATTGGATGACGTGCTCTGCACATGGCCTCTAGAGGAATAATTTTTGGCATGGTGGCTCCTGCTCCTTCTGTCATATCAATTTCTTCCTCACTCACCCGTTTCCATTCAAAACATTGAATCAACATGCCCAAGGTCATGCCTATTGTTCGTTGAGCTAAACTTGCTCCAGGACAAGCTCGTCTTCCTAATCCAAATGGAATTAGCTTGTTTACCTCTCCTTCTTTTTCAAACCTCTCTGGCTTAAAACTTGTTGGATCACTCCATAAGTGGGGATCTCTATGGTTTCCCCAAGCATTGATTAACACAATAGTTCCACGAGGAACATTATATCCAGCAATGGTGCAATCATTCGAAGCCTCATGAGGAACCAACAATGGTGCGGCAGGATGCAAACGAAGTGTTTCAGAGACAATGTTTTGCAAGTATGGTAGCTTTGAGATGTCTGGCTCATCTATTAATCGTTCTTGCCCTATATGTGTGTCTATTTCTTTCTTTGCTTTTTCCAACACATGAGGATTGTTTAATAAACTTGACATTGCCCATTCTAAAGTCACAGCTGCACCATCCGTTCCGGCAAAAACCATGACCTATGAGTTAAGTTAGCAAAGTGAAATCAGTTACTACAAGTTCTATAATCAATTTCAGACCAAATTTAAGGAGCGTCACATGACATATAAATCAAATTATTAGCAAAGTAAGATCAGTTACTACAAATTTTATGATCAATTTCAGACTAAATTTAAGGAGTGCCACACAAGTACGAGTTTACGGTACTATATTTCGCTATGTTGGAATACAAGGAAAACGCAAATTCTTACAAGTTAAGTGATCTAAAAGTACACTTTTTATATATGGGATCATTATGAAATAATACGATGATTAGTTTCGTACCACTCGGAAGGCATAGTTTTGCA